AGGGAAAGTGTGGCTTTTACTAATCCCCGGGTTAAATCCACCACACAGTCATTTAGGCTTGCTGGGATTTAGCATGCAGTGTCTGTTAATACTGCAGAGATGGGTATTGTCTTTTTCTGGTGGTTGTTTTCAAAGCAGTCACCCGATGTGGCTTTCATGCAATGTGCCCTGTGTCTGCGAGAGCAGAGCTTTTGGGGGGGCTTGGGGAAAGGGTCCCACCCCAGCCACGTCAGCATGGGTGGGCAGCATCGGGTCCGTGCCGTCCACCACCCACCCTGCCCTCCCAGATCTGCTCCCGTGAATAAATCCGCAAGGCTGGCTTTGCGGGGGCAAAGGTCTGGGTGATTCCCAAACCTTTCCCTGTTTGGAAACAAAGTTTGAGCAACTTCTCCCCTTCACTGGCCCAGCTGGGGTTTCCCATTTCGGCATCTCCAGGGCTCCCTTTTCCTTTGCCACGGCTCGTTTGTCTCCTACTGTACACGGAATTGCACATCTGGGCAAAAAGTCTGTTTCCTGCTGCTTCTAATTTCTGCCAGTGCCAGGGAAGGAGGAGATGGGAGTAAAGAGCAGGAGGGCAGCGTCTGCCCCTGCTTCTCCGAGCCCGGCGCGGGATCTGCCGCAGATGGGAGTGTTTATAAGCAGCATCTTGAGAACATTCCTCCCTCCGGCGCCAGGCATTTCCTGGTGATAACACACTCCTAAGTAACCATCTCGCAGCATTATCCCTATTAAAGGGTCATTCGGGGAAAGTGTGATGGAAATTGGAAATTATTCAGGTCTGCCAACAGTATTTAACTTTCAAGCAGCTCTTAATTAGAAGCCAGGAGCCATTTATACAACCGCTGAGATTTGCATAAGAATCTGCATATAAAACCCAGCAACTGGAAAGATTTAGTGATTTTTTTTTTTTGTAAGTGGCAAAGCAGCATGCCCGGGTCGGAGAGCGCGAGGCAGGACCCTGGGTTGCAGTCCAGGCTCTGCCAGGGATTTTAAGTGTGGCCTCAGGCAAGTGATTTCCTCTCCCAGAGCTCCAATTTTTCCATATGTAAAATAAAAATCAGCGTGTATCCAACTTCCTAGGTGGCAGCTGGTGTTTGCAGAGGGGTCTGGCATTGCCAGGTGAGAACCCTCGGAGAAGAAAGCGCGCGAGGCAGGACCCTGGGTTGCAGTCCAGGCTCTGCCAGGGATTTTAAGTGTGGCCTCAGGCAAGTGATTTCCTCTCCCAGAGCTCCAATTTTTCCATATGTAAAATAAAAATCAGCGTGTATCCAACTTCCTAGGTGGCAGCTGGTGTTTGCAGAGGGGTCTGGCATTGCCAGGTGAGAACCCTCGGAGAAGAAAGCGGAGGAGTCCCTGCACCTGCAGCCTGCTGCTCCTCCTGAGTCACCCACAAACTGGGGTTACGGCAGAGTTTCTCTTCAGCTGAAAAACTCCTGTGCGCATCTAGGCTAAAAGCCAAAGGCTGAAAACAAGACTAAAATACCGCCGGGTTGCTCAGTCCCCGCTCTCACCGCTGCTTTGGTGGGAGATCTGAGGATGGGTTCCAGTTTCAGCTCCTCGCTGGCACTGGGTGTCCGACAGCCCAGAAACGCGGGTGCTGGTCTCTGCACAGACCAAGGGTGGGAAGTCAGAGCCGAGCTCCCGGTGGCAGATGCTCCTTGCTGAAAGCCGTTGGCCAAAGCCAGCCCCGAAACCCTAATTATTTTGTTGCTGCATCCTCGAACTGGCTTGTTGCTGGGATGCCAGTGGTGTGGCTGGGACATGCTTAACCAGCTGGAAAAAACCCCAACTTCTCACTATTGCTCTGGTAGATGTTCTCTTGCCTCCCTCTCCCTCCTCTGCCCCCAGCCCGTTCCTCTCCTGCCTGGGGGCTGCCCGGGTGTCCGCTCCCTCCATTGAGCATCGCTCTGCTCTCTCTTTGCTCGCAGCTGGACAAGGGGGACGTGACCACGCTCAGCCTGCCCTCCACCGCCGGGCACGGCGATGCCGATGGCACCGTCTGCCTGGATGTCCCCGATGGCACCCCTGACCCTCACAGGACAAAAGCCGCCATCGAGCACCTGCACCAGAAGATCCTCAAGATCACCGAGCAGATCAAGATCGAGCAGGAGGCTCGGGATGACAACGTGGCCGAGTACCTGAAGCTGGCCAACAACGCGGACAAGCAGCAAGCCTCCCGCATCAAGCAGGTTTTCGAGAAGAAGAACCAGAAGTCGGCACAGACCATCGCGCAGCTGCACAAGAAGCTGGAGCACTACCACAAGAAGCTGAAGGAGATCGAGCAGAACGGCCCCTCCCGGCAGCCCAAGGATGTCTTCCGGGACATGCACCAGGGTCTCAAGGACGTGGGTGCCAACGTTCGCTCCAGCATCAGCGGCTT